GAAGGAGGGAGGGAACGGGGGCCTGACGATATGTACCCAGAACCACCCACGACAATGTTTTAGCCCTATCAGGCAATGGGATCTCAACCCAGAATTCCAATGGGCAGCGGAGACTGCGGGAACTGTGGGATAGCCACCCACAGTGCAATGCTCCGGAAGTCGACTCTAGCCTCGGTACTGTGGAAGCACTCCACCGACTTAATGCACTTAATGCACTTAGAGCATTTTCTTTGGGGACACACACACTCGAATATATAAAACCAATTTCTAAAAAACCGACTTCTATAAATTTGACCTAATTCCGTAGTGTAGACATACCCTAAGGATTAAACGATACAGCTGGTTGAATAGAATTAGACTAATATGTTCTTTTCTGATTAATTTCAACCTTTTGGACATCTGAATCCTTTTTGTGGTATTTGGTCAGTGTCAGAGATGGTCCAATACTAGTCAGCTCATATATTTTGATTATTTATGAAATTGGTCAAGTGATATATTCACCAGATACCTTTTTCTACGATTTGACTGCATCTATTGAACATTCAGCAAGCTATTAGCAGAAATGCTGCCAGCCTAAGATGTAAAAGATAGCTGGAGTGGATCGAAACTATGGCCATGAAAAAAGAAATAGACCAGATTTGTTTTGTATTCATTTGCTCCCCTCTCCCTCCCTCCATGAAATCAACGGCCGACAATTGTTTCGGTGAGGTCTGTCAGGGGCACCTTGAAAAGTTTAATGGAGATTCAGTCCTGTCTCAAATACTGGGGGAAGGGATAGCTCAGTGGGTTGAGCATTGTCCTACTAAACCCAGGGTTTTGAGTTCAATCCTTGAGGTGGCCATTCTGTGTGACAGTTGTTTTTGTTTCTCCTTGATGAAAAGCCACCCCCTTTGTTGATTTTAATTCCCTGTAAGCCATGTCATCAGTCGCCCCTCCCTCCATCAGAGTAATGGCAGACAATCGTTCTGCACCTTTTTTCCGTGCAGATGCCATATCATGGCAAGCACGGAGCACGCTCAGATCACTCTGGCAATTATGAGCACATTAAACACCACATGCATTATCCAGCAGTATATGCAGCACCAGAACCTGCCAACGTGAAACCGGGCGAGTAGGCAACATCAGCGCAGTGACAAGAGTGATGAGGACATGGACACAGACTTCTCTCAAAGCACAGGCCCTGGCAATGTGAGCATCATGGTGCTAATGGGGCAGGTTCATGCCGTGGAACGCCAATTCTGAGCCTGGGAAACAAGCACAGACTGGTGGGACGGCATTGTGTTGCAGGTCTGGGACAATTCCCAGTGGCTGCGAAACGTTCGCATGCATAAGGGCACTTTCATGGAACTTTGTGACTTGCTTTCCCCTGCCCTGAGGCACAATAATACCAAGATGAGAGCAGCCCTCTCAGTTGAGAAGCGAGTGGCAATAGCCTTGGGGGGGCTTACAATGCCAGACAGCTACCAGTCAGTTGGGAATCAATTTGGAGTGGGCAAATCTACTGTTGGGGCTGCTGTGATGCAAAAAGCCAACGCAATCAAAGATCTGCTGATATCAAGGGTAGTGACCCTGGGAAATGTGCAGGTCATAGTGGATGGCTTTGCTGCAATGGGATTCCCTAACTGGTGGGGCCATAGACAGAACCCATATCCCTATCTTGGCACTGGAGCACCAAGCCAGTGAGTACATAAACCGCAAGGGGTACTTTTCAATAGTGCTGCAATCACTGGTGGATCACAAGGGACGTTTCACCAACATCAATGTGGGATGGCCAGGAAAGGTACATGACGCTCGCATCTTCAGGAACTTTGGTCTGTTTCAAAAGCTGCAGGAAGGGACTTTCTTCCCAGACCAGAAAATAACCGTTGGGGATGTTGAAATGCCTATATGTATCCTTCGGGACCCAGCCTACCCCTTAATGCCATGGCTCATGAAGCCGTACACAGCCAGCCTGGACAGTAGTCAGGAGCTGTTCAACTACAGGCTGAGCAAGTGCAGAATGGTGGTAGAATGTGTATTTGGACATTTAAAAGCGTGCTGGCGCAGTTTACTGACTCGCTTAGACCTCAGCGAAACCAATATTCCCATTGTTATTACTGCTTGCTGTGTGCTCCACAATATCTGTGAGAGTAAGGGGGAGATGTTTATGGCGGGGTGGGAGGTTTAGGCAAATCACCTGGCTGCTGGTTACACGCAGCCAGACACCAGGGTGGTTTGAAGAGCACAGGAGGGCGTGGTGCGCATCAGAGAAGCTTTGAAAACCAGTTTGATGACTGGCCAGGCTATGGTGTGAAGTTCTGTTTGTTTCTCCTTGATGAAACCCCCACCCCTTGGTTCACTCTACTTCCCTGTAAGCTAACCACCCTCCCCTCCCCCTTTTGATCACCACTTGCAGAGGCAATAAAGTCATTGTTGCTTCACATTCATGAATTCTTTATTAATTCATCAAACAAATAGGGGGATAACTGCCAAGGTAGCCTGGGAGGGGTGAGGGAGGAGGGAAGGACAAGCCCACACTACACTTTAAAACTTAAAAACTTAAAAAATTTAAAACTTATTGAATGCCAGCCTTCTGTTGCTTGGGCAATCCTCTGGGGTGGAGTGGCTGGGTGGCCAGAGGCCACCCCACCGCGTTCTTGGGTGTCTGGGTGAGGAGCTATGGAACTTGGGGAGGAGGGTGGTTGGTTACACAGGGGCAGTCTGTGCTCCAGCTGCCTTTCGTGCAGCTCAACCGTACGCTGGAGCATACGTGCTGAGGCCTCCAGCAGCCTCAGCATTGAATCCTGCCTCCTCTCATCATGCTGTCGCCACCTTTCAGCTTCAGCCCTCTCTTCAGCCTGCCACCTCTCCTCGCGTTCATACTGTGCTTTCCTACACTCTGACATTGTCTGCCTCCACACATTCATCTGTACTCTGTCAGTGTGGGAGGACAGCATGAGGTCAGAGAACATTTCATCATGACTACGTTTTTTTTCACCTTCTAATCTTTGTTAGCCTCTGGGAAGGAGAAGATACTGTGATCCTTGAAACATATGCAGCTAGTAGAGAAAAAAAAGAGACAGTGGTATTTAAAAAGGCATTTTATAGAATAATGGGTACACTCTCTTTCATGGTAAACCTTGCTGTTAACATTACATACATAGTACATGTGCTTTCATTACAAGGTTGCATTTTGCCTCCCCCCACCGTGTGGCTAACCCCTCCCCCCACTGTGTGGCTAACAGCAGGGAACTTTTCTGTTCCACAGGCAAACAGCCCAGCAGGAACGAGCACCTCTGAATGTCCCCTTAAGAAAAGCACCCTATTTCAACCAGGTGACCGTGAATTATATCATTCTCCTGAGGAAAACACAGAGAGATAAAGAACGGATGTTGTTTGAATGCCAGCAAACATACGCTGCAATGCTTTGTTCTGCAATGATTCCCGAGTACGTGCTACTGGCCTGGCATGGTAAAGTGTCCCACCATGGTGGATGGAATAAGGCTGCCCTCCCCAGAAACCTTTTGCAAAGGCTTTGGGAGTAAATCCTGGAGAGCTTTATGGAGATGTCCCTGGAGGATTTCCGCTCCATCCCCAGACAAGTTAACAGACTCTTCCAGTAGCTCTACTGGCCGCAAATGCCAGGGCAAATTAATCATTAAACATGCTTGCTTTTAAACCATGTATACTATTTAAAAAGGTACACTCACCAGAGGTCCCTTCTCCGCCTGGCGGGTCCAGGAGGCAGCCTTGGTAGGTTTGCGGGGTACTGGCTCCAGGTCCAGGGTGAGAAACAGTTCCTGGCTGTCGGGAAAACCGGTTTCTCCGTTTGCTTGCTGTGAGTTATCTTCCTCATCCCCAAATCCTGCTTCCATGTTGCCTCCCACTCCATTGACGGAGTCAAATCACAGGGTTGGGGTAGTGGTGGCTGAACCCCCTAAAATGGCATGCAGCTCATCATAGAAGCGGCATGTTTGGGGTTCTGACCCGGAGTGGCCATTTGCTTCTCTGGTAGGCTTGCCTCAGCTCCTTAATTTTCACGTGGCACTGCTTCGGGTCCCTGTTATGGCCTCTGTCCTTCATGCCCTGGGAGATTTTTACAAATGTTTTGGCATTTTGAAAACTGGAACGGAGTTCTGATAGCATGGATTCGTCTCCCCATACAGCGATCAGATCCCGTACCTCCCGTTCAGTCCATGCTGGAGCTCTTTTGCGATTCTGGGACTCCATCATGGTCACCTCTGCTGATGAGCTCTGCACTCACCTGCAGCTTGCCATGCTCGCCAAACAGGAAATGAGATTCAAAAGATTGCGGGCCTTTTCCTGTCTACCTGGCCGGTGCATCTGAGTTGAGAGTGCTGTCCAGAGAGTTCACAATGGAGCACTCTGGGATAGCTCCCGGAGGCCAATACCGTTGAATTGCATCCACACTACCCCAAATTCGACCCGGCAAGGCCAATTTCAGCGCTAATCCCCTTGTCAGGCGTGGAGTAAAGAAATCGATTTTAAGAGCCCTTTAAGTAAAAAAAAAGTGGCTTCGTCGTGTGGAGGGGTGCAGGGTTAAATTGATTTAGCGCTGCTAAATTCGACCTCAACTCCTAGTGTAGACCAGGCCTAAATAACTGACTATGGCTTACAGCAGTATATGTTTGATCATATACATGGAGAGACTCCCACTGATTTCAGTAAGAGCTGGAACAGACCTTAAGTACACTGCTCATAGACAATGCGAATCAGTGGCAGAGCTGGGTACAGAATTTAGGAGTCTTGACTCCCAGTGCCCTAAAGCAGCTACTTGCCTGTTCTTTCAGCCAAAGGTGAGGTGGTAGCAGCACCAATCTAACATGCTGTCTTATTATGTGATTTTATGCAAGGTACATCTACTGTACACATGACCATAGCTTGTATTCATTGTGAACTGGACTCAAATAACATTAATTTGGCATGCAGACCATTATCAGTGTTGTTGTATTGGTAATAATGCAATCCATACTTTAAAGAGAGAAAATTACATAACTTACAACATTCATAAAGCATTCTGGAACCACCGTGATCTTCTTTAGCATTTCTTCTCCATGTTTAGTGTTCCATCTTATGAGTTCTTCTGAATATCTAATTCCTTGGAACAAATATGCCAACATAATAAATAGCTGCATCTTGGGCCTGTGTGAAACAATTCATTTATCTGTTAATGGGAATGCTATGAACATACTGTAGCTCTCTGCTTTAAAAAAAATGGTACTATTTACTTTTATAGCAAGAAAAAAGCCAATAGTCTGACTTAGAAGTAAATACCTGCACAAAGAACAGCTGATTTAGCTCCCTGGCCTGAGGGAATGTGTGAAAGCATAGGAGGTGGGTAAAGCTTGGGGTGAAAGTAAGTCCAATGACTTACCAGTATGCTGGGGCCACCTCTGGCCCCCAGAAGGGGCAGGGCCTAGGGTGGAAGGGACAGGGCTGAGGGGGTCAGAGCCAGCCCCAGACCACCCTGTAAGGTAAGTGCCCCCCCCTCCCAAGGGTAAGTGCCCCCTGCGGAAGTGGTGGGGCTCCAGCAGCTATTTAAAAGATGGGGCAGCAGAGGCAGCTGGAGCCACAGGCCCTTTAAATAGCCCCTGGAGCCCCCACTCCCCCAGGGCTCCGGGGGCTATTTAAAGGGCCTGTGGCTCCCCTGCTTCTACCGTCCTGGTCCTTTAAATAGCTCCCGGAGCCCTGGAGTAGCAGCGGCGGGGCTCCAGTGGCTATTTAGAGGGCTGGGGCAGTAGAAGCAGGGGAGCCCCAGGCCCTTTAAATAGCCCCCGCAGCCACTACCCTAGGGCTCCAGCAGCGGGGCTCTGGAGGCAATTTAAGGGGCCTGGGGCTCTAGCCACGGCTGGGAGCCCCAGGCCCTTTAAACTGCCCCCTGGGGAAGCTGGGCTGCCCCAGTGCGGTGCACTGGCTCTTGCTGGTATGCCATACTGGGGCATACCGGCTTACTTTCACCTCTGGTAAAGCTTCTGCTTGGGGAGGCAGTAGCCCGTCTCTTCTGCCTGTGGCCCTGCCCATATTCCACCCCTGCTCTGCCCAAGACCCTGCTCTGTCCAGGCCCTGTCCCTTCCCCACCATCTCCCTCCTCTCTTCCCTCCCCTCCTTTCTCACCCCCACTCACCACGTGCACATCCCCTTCCAACCAAATCCCTGAACCTAAGCCAATTATGTTTGAAAAAACCCTCCACTTTTCTGCAATTTCTTTGTAAAGAAAATGGAGCATGTTTTCCACTGTGCACCAGATGGTGTTTGTGAAGGCTGGATATGCAGAAGGTACCTAATTAAAAGCACTAAACTTGGGAATAAAAAAAAGTCAGTCACAGGTTTTTTGATTTACCCTGATAGTTGACATGCAGGCAGCCTGCAAAATGGCCTTTTCAAGTGCCCAGACCCCCTCTCAATGATCCTGGGGAACTATAATGGTAAGCTGCAGTTAAAGCTAATTGAGAAATCTTTATCCTTGCTTCACACAATAAAACAAGGTGTCAGGCCTCACCTTCAGCTGGCATTTGCACCCTGATAGGAAGAAAATGGCTGGAATCAGACTGCAAAAGCTGCCACCTTATTTTCACTTCTTCACACAAACAAAACTTGAGTGCTTCCTGTGTTTATTGTTTAAACAGCAGTAAGCACCTCAGGCAATGAATAAGAACTGCCAGGAGGAGTGGCTGCTGCAGCTAGAGATGAATCCTGGCAGTAAAATAAAGGTTAGCTGCTACTTTAATAACAGTAATACATGCTTAGCTCAAAGAACCAAGGCGGCAAAAAGTCCCACTGAGGCAGCATGGTTGTGCCAGCTTTATGTACCAGACCGGTAGATCCCATATCCCCAAGGGTGAAGGAACCAAATCACCAGCACCATTCTCATGAGAAACTGGCCACCAGGCAAATGTAATCTCCCATCCACTGAAAAGAGTTGAGTCTTATCCTATCAATGCCGCCTCTCCTCACCGCCACCATGTCCCTCCTCCCTCTGCCCCACCTTCCTTACCTCCATACCTCCCTCCCCCCCAGGCTCCGGCCACTCAAGCTCTCTGCGCCTCCCCCAGCCCTGCCCATTGCAGAATTTGAACAAGTGAAAAAACCTAATTGCCACTGCTTACCTGTGGGAATGCTCTGAAAGGCTCTGGCCCTGGTGGAGGGGGCCTCCTGGCCATTTATTGTTCAGCCTCAGCTGCCAGTCCCACTTAGCTGGCCCTGGCTCGGAGGACAGGACAGCATAGGCTGCCTGCTGCCACAAGTGGTCCAGCCCTCCCTGCAGAACACTGACTGACTGCACACGTAGGATAAGGCTGGCTGGCCTACCTGCGTCTTTGTCTAGTCCTCCCACCTCCTACTTTGAAAAGTGATGATGGGGTGGATCCCTGCTTCCCCTCCCCTTCTGGCAAGTTGCTCCAGCATCACACAGTGGGAAGAGGAGTCGTCCCATAAAGTCCCAAATTGAAATTCTCCTCTGATCCAGGAGAAGTGCATACTGCATGAATGAAGCATAAAGGTTTTGGAATTGTAAAAAACACTTCGCAAAATTGCACTTCTAAGCATTTTCCACCTGATGACCTCAAAGCACCTAACCAAAAACAATGAATTTACACGAACTCCTGTGAGGCAGGCAAGTATTATTATCCCTGTTTTTCGGATGGAGAAACTGAGGCACATGCTAATTAAGTCCCCTATCTGCTGTCTTTTTAAATCAATGGAAAGACTCCCCTTGAGATTAAGCCTTAAATGACGGGTACAATGTCACACTGGAAGTCTGTGACAGGGGGGCCATTAATAGAACCCCAGATCTTCACATTTCTAGCTCTGCTTTCAACACCAAACCATGCTTCTTCCCTTAAATTTTACTTTCCATTATCTGGAAAACAAACGAGTCTCTTTGAAGGGACTCTTAATTGATTACTAAACAGGCTGTGCATGTAGGTAGCTGTATTTGTGGTACAGTAGAGTTCAGAGAGGAATCATCCAACAACTCTGATTTCAACGGGATTCCTTATTTCACACAGAAATTATGTGTGATGAGTTTTATATGCAAAAAGAAAAGGAGACTGACCAATTTATTTGAGCATAAGCTTTCGTGAGCTACAGCTCACTTCATCGGATGCATACTGTGGAAAGTACAGAAGATCTTTTTATACACACAAACCATGAAAAAATGGGTGTTTACCACTACAAAAGGTTTTCTCTCCCCCCACCCCACTCTCCTGCTGGTAATAGCTTATCTAAAGTGATCACTCTCCTTACAATGTGTATGATAATCAAAGTGGGCCTTTTTCCACAAAAAATCAGGTTTTTTTTCCCCCCCTCCCCTTTTTTTTCCCACACACACAAACCCACTCTCCTGCTGGTAATAGCTTATCTAAAGTGATCACTCTCCTTACAATGTGTATGATAATCAAGGTGGGCCATTTCCAGCACAAATCCAGGGTTTAACAAGAACTCCTGGGGGGGGAGGGGGGTAGGAAAAAACAAGGGGAAATAGGTTACCTTGCATAATGACTTAGCCACTCCCAGTCTCTATTCAAGCCTAAGTTAATTGTATCCAATTTGCAAATGAATTCCAATTCAACAGTCTCTCGCTGGAGTCTGGTTTTGAAGTTTTTCTGTTGTAATATCGCAACTTTCATGTCTATAATCACGTGACCAGAGAGATTGAAGTGTTCTCCGACTGGTTTATGAATGTTATAATTCTTGACATCTGATTTGTGTCCATTTATTCCTTTACGTAGAGACTGTCCAGTGTGTCCTTTTAGAGAGACAAGTTGTTTCCCCCTGGACTATTATACCTGCCACCCATGAAGGTGGGTGAGGCAATAATATCTTTTATTGGACCAACTTCTGTTGGTGAGAGAGGCAAGCTTTCCAAAAGCCCGCCCTCTTTTAAAAGTGATCTGCCCTCCTACATCTTTGCTGAGTTGCTCCAGCGTCAGCAGAGCAGGAGGCATCCCACAGCTAGGCCAGCCAGTGAAAACCAGAACCACTTTTCAAACTGATGGGGCTTTTTACCTCCCACTCCCCTGCATTGTATAATGCATAGTACAAATAGCATCCCTCAACGAGACAACATGTTAAAATGAACAACTGGGATAGGGCAAGTGAGGGAGGGGGAAGGTGGGTGGAACTGAGAGCAGTGAGGGGGAGGGCTGAGTGAACAGGGAGAGGGGGACTGCAATCAGTGAGTGGTGGGGGACAGGGAGCCAAACACAAGCAGGAAGAGGAGAGGAGGAGGAACCCAGGGAACAGGTGGGCAGGGGGGATGAGGAGGAAACCCCACAAAGAGCAAGCAGGAGGGAGGCTGAGCAGGGAGACAGGGGGACTCACTGGCTGGGGCCAACCGAACAGGGAGAGGGTGGAGGAGGAGGATGAGCAGGACAGGATGGGGAGGGAAGGAGGAAGCCCACTTAGCCCACCCAAGGAGCAGGGAGGGGGGGACTAGATGGGGTGAGGGGCCAAGCAGGGAGGGAGCCGAGCAGGGAGGAGGGGGAAGGAACTGGCAAAGCAAGCAGCAGCACAGGAAGCTGGGATCTCTGGAGAGGAGGGTTGGTGGCGTCCTTGGAGATGGTGGTGTGCTGGAGAAAACTGGAGCAGCTGGGAAAGCAGACATGACTGAAATTTGACCTTGTATCTGTTCCATGCAGGTTCAGGGGCAGCTAAGCAGGCTATCTGCTACTTAGCCTTCTCAACTGTCTCTGCTTAGGGAACCATAATAAAGAAAAACATCCGGTAGCGTGGAAGGCAGGGAGGGGAAGAGGCAGGGCCACCATGGCCCCAGCATTCAGCAACGTGTCTGCTGCACCTGTGTGGGAAGGCAATGCCTTCCCATGCCTATTATATGCGCCACCCATGTGTGAAAGTGAAGAAAGCGCTATTTGAAAATGCCAGTAATTATGACTGTGCCATTTGTAGGGGGCATGTGACCTCTCGTTGTCAAGGTGGTGAGCAGTGACTCCCATTGAAATAATTCTAAATACCGAAGCAGTAGCAATGACCATAAACATCTTCTTCTATCTTCATATAGGCATAGGACTGTGTCCCCCCTCTCAGAAATGGACTTTCCCCATAGCAATCCATGCTTTTGTCAACTAGAGATTAGACTACTGCAGTGTGCTTTACCCTGGGTTGACTGTGAAGGTCA